CTGTTGCGGAGAAATACTTATAGTCATGTGTAGCACCTCCTACCCACTCCTGTAGGCATCATTGTAACTTTCGACGAAAGCCATTACATTGCTGAATTAACAATATGGCTACCGGCTTCCTACACGTGAAGGGCGATACTATTGTCGACGGAAATGGAGAGGGGGTTGTGATGCGAGGAGCTGCTCTTGGAGGATGGATGAAGTATGCAGACAATTAAATTGCCATATGTATTCTCCCTGTCTCCGAACTGACATATCGTCTTGAAGTATGGAGAATTTTATCACAGGCTTCGCAGGCCACGAAGCCCAGCACCGCGCCGCCATGCGTCGAGTCCTAGGACAAGAAAAATACGAATTCTTCTTCGACAAATGGCTCGAGTACTTCTTCACCGAGGCGGACGCCAAATTCTTCGCTGAGCTAGGACTGAACTGTCTGCGTCTGCCTTTCAACTACCGCCACTTCGAGGACGATATGAATCCCCGCGTGCTGAAGGAGTCAGGGTTCAAACACTTGGACCGAGTCGTTGACCTGGTCAGTGTTGCACACATCCCTCAGCAGATGTAGTGGTATCAGGAAATGGGCTAATCATAATGGTCGTATAGTGCGCAGCACATGGGATCTATACCATCCTGGACATGCACGCCGTCCCAGGCGGTCAGAACCCAGACTGGCACTCCGACAATCCCACCGCCTATGCTGCTTTCTGGGATTACAAGGACCACCAGGACCGGACTATCTGGCTCTGGGAGCAGATTGCTATCAGGTACAGGGATAATCCTTGGGTTGCTGGGTACAACCCGCTCAATGAACCTTGCGATCCGGAGCATGTGCGGCTACCCGCATTCTATGCTCGTGTTGAGAAGGCGATTCGAAAGATTGACCCGCATCATATCCTATGGCTGGATGGGAATACCTTTGCGATGGAGTGGAAGGGCTTTGATGAGGTGTTGCCGAACAGCGTGTATGCCATGCATGATTACTCGGTGAGCTTCGCACTCCTTTCCGTGCCTATGAGAATACGTGAGTATGGTGTACTGATACGATCTAACCTCTAGTCAATGGGATTCCCCACCGGTGATCGCTACAAGGGCACAGCCGAACAAAAGGAACGCCTTGAACGCGGGTACCTACGCAAAGCGCAGTTCATGAGCGAAAACAAGACTCCCGTCTGGAACGGGGAGTTCGGCCCCGTCTATGCGGACGAGGTATTTGATGTCGATGCCCAGACTGTCAACCAGGAGCGATACAATCTCCTTGGCGACCAGCTTCGCATCTACGACAAGTATAACATCAGCTGGTCGATCTGGCTCTATAAGGACATTGGTCTGCAGGGTATGATCTATACGAATCCCGAGAGCAAGTGGAACAAGACGCTCAAGCCTTTCCTGGATAAGAAGAGGGACTTCTGGCTCGATAAATGGGGTCGTCGGCCTCAGTCTGAGCCGGAGGCGGCTTTGAAGCCTTTGCTCGAGTGGATTGATCGCGTTAGTCCAACTGCGAAGGAAACTTATCCCACGTCGTGGAATACAGAGTTGCATGTCATGCGGAATGTGTTTTACACTTTCTTGGCGGCGTCATTTGTGGATGAGTTTGCTGAATTGTTCCGAGGAAGCAGTGAGAAGGACCTGGAAGAGTTGGCTAGGAGTTTCCACTTTGAGGGTTGTGTGCAGCGAGAGGGTTTGAATCGTATACTCAAGGACCATGCACATACGTCTCGTTGAGTCTGGGCAGGGGTCGGCTTTATATAGCATGCTATAATAAATTGGACATTCCCAACTTGATTCTAATGCCGTAAGAGTGTAGAGAGAGGCTGGATTAATAATAGATGCGATGATCTATAAGCAGAGGGTGGCAATAAGTTCCGTTCCTGGCGATATCCTGACTTTTGTTCAAATTCCACGCACTTCTGTTATCCACACACTATCGATAAGCCAGAAAAATCGAAAAAGATCGCGGGGCACATTCTCGACTTCAAGATCATTAAAGGTTACTGGAGGGATTTAACATGGCTGATTCTCCTGCGTTTCCGTCCAATCTGGACAGTATCTATGATTCCGCTTCACCTCTTAAAAACAGCATCGATCCAATCCGATTGACGTCAGACAACATCCTTCCGATCTTCAACCTGCCCCTCACTCATAAGGTGTTGGGTCACGATGCCTCAAACGAGTCTCTTGCACAGGTTGCAAGCGGCGATATCTCATACACTACCTTCGTTGCCGAGCAAGCCCGCGCCGCCCTCGAGTCTAGTGATGACTTGACCATCGAACAAAAACAATCGCAACTCCTGCATCTTGGACTAGCAGCCTTGTTCAGCTTCCTGCAGTCCAACGTCACCGGTCCTCCCCTTGCCTTCAGCTCGGCCGAAGCTGTCTTGCCCTCTGCCCTGCGAACTGAACCCACAACTCTCAAATCCGTGCGGGCAAAGATCATCCGTGACCTAACCCTGGATGGAGAAGCTGCCTATAAGCTCACACCCAACCCGGAATTGTTTGCTGTCGCCAAGGCTCTTTTAGCAGATGCGAGTAGCGATGGACCGCTTGTCGCAAAGACCGCGCGTATGCGCACGAATTTCCTTCACCAAAAGATGCTTTCGGAGGTCACGAGTACTCTCCAGGATGTGATCTACAAGGATGTTGAGATCCTGGACAAGGCTGAGTTGAACTCAGACGAGAGGAGTCGGTTCCTGCTGGAAAGGGCCATTATCCACACGCACCACGGATTCGACGTCAAGGCCCGGGAAGATATTGATCAGGCGGCTAAGGTGCGGAGGTTCGAGTTTGCACTGACCGGAAAGATGGGCAAGCGCACAAAATTCCAGGACCGTGATATCAGTCAGCTGGTTGTGTTGGCTAAGAGCGCTGATGAAACATCACTACCTTCGGAACCTTCTGGCCCCAAGAACCTCAACTTGGATGACGATACCCTTCTCGAGGCCATCTCTTTCTCCGACCAAAAGCCCGACGAGCAATCCTTGGCAATTCAGGATAAGGTTTCCGCATCTTTGGATGCCATCGATGCCAACAACCAGCCCATTCTCAACCCCGTTGACTCCGCTCTCCTCCTCGCACTGGCATCTGCCATTACTAACACCTCGCCTGAGAACGGCCTCACTCGCGAGGAAACACACCCCTACGCCACTCGAGTGCTCGATGGCGGCAGCTCCAACTGGCAGATCTATACCCAAGCACTTCTGGTCCGCAGTCGGGTAGAGGGCTACCGTTCTCGTACTGTTGAGAGAGCTGTGCTGCAGATGCAAGCTTTGGTGGATCAGGTCATTGCAGACACCGCAACTAGCGACGACGCAGCTCAGACTGAATCAGGCGACCCTACAACTTTCCTGCCTCGTCCTGAGCAGTCCGAGTCTGCCCCCGCCGCTGACCGACTCCAGCACATCTGGATCCTAAACTTCTCAACACGCTGGAGCCTCGAGGCTGAGCTTGCCAAGCGCTGGGTTGATCTCGGTGGTCTGCGCACCGCGCTCGATATCTACGAGAGACTACACATGTGGGCCGAGGCCGCCCTTTGCTATGCCGCTACCGAGCGCGAAGGCAAGGCGAAGAACCTCATCCGCCGACAGCTTTACCAGGCCACCGGCCCAGACGAAAATGATGAAAACGAGCAATTTGACGGACCAGAGCGGTCACCACTACCAGCAGATGCCCCACGTCTGCTTTGTATCATGGGAGATATTGACAAAGACGAGAAGATGTACGAGCGCGCCTGGGAGGTCTCCGGGGAGCGATATGCCCGCGCCCAGCGGTCCCTGGCCCGCCACTACCTCACCTCCACACCACCACAACTGGAAAATGCCGAGATAGCTTATAAGAAGAGTTTACATATCAACCGCCTGAACCAGGGCGCATGGTTCGCCCTCGGCTGTGTACAGCTCGAGCTCCAGAAATGGCAAGAAGCAACGGACACCTTCACCCGCACCGTCCAACTCGACGACACCGACGGCCAGGCCTGGAGTAACCTTGCCGCAGCGATGCTGCGCATGCCAGCCCCAGAGCCTGCCCCAGAAGTTATCGACGAGGCCACCGGCGAAGTCTCCGCTGCCGAAGTCGACCCTCACAAGCGCAAGCGTGAGGCCCTCTCGGCTCTCCAGCGCGCAGCGCAACTCAAGGGTACTGACGCCCGCATTTGGGACAACGTCCTGACAGTCGCGGCGTCCATCCCGCCGCCGGCAACACCATTCCGCGAAGTGATTACCGCGCAGAAACGCATTATCGAGCTCCTCGGCACGAAGCAGGGCGAGAAGTGCGTTGATGTGGCGATACTGGGCATGCTCGTTGATTTCCTGAACGTGGCGTTCGAGTACGAGTCATTGCTTATTCGCTCTGACGATCCATCTGAAGCCCCGATTGTTCGCACCGGTACTATTCCCGGCCAGATTATTTCACTGATCGATCAGAATGTCATCCCGCTTATCACGCACTCTTCGGTGCTGTGGCAGATTGTTGCTCGCGTTGAAGTCTTCCGTGGTCGGCCGTCTAAGGCATTCGAGGCTCATGAGAAGGCGTGGCGTGCTACTATTGCCGCTAATGCTCAGGGTGCTTTCCAGATGGGTGACGAGAAGCCTTGGCTTGAGGTTGTGCGGGCTACAGAGAAGCTTGTGAGAGATGGATATGCCAAGTTCGGTCCTATGGACCGTGAAGATCAAAAGGTTGAGGGTGATCAAGAGGCTGAGCTTGTTGCGAAGGACTGGCGGTTCAAGGCTCGAAGTGCCGTGAGAGGAATCATGGGCAAGGGCAAGGACTTCTGGGATGGCACGGAAGGCTGGGACCGCTTGAAGCAGTTGCAGTCTGAGGTTACGGGCAATTAGTACATATAACCCTTTATGCTGTTTATGAATCATATAGATTAGCTCGCTCATCTAGCAAGTGCAATGTTTACAAAAGTCATATACCAAGTTCAACATTATTCAAGCCTCCTCAGTTGATTGATAAATCGAGATTATTCTTACCTGTGTACAGCTTGAGGATTGGTTTTATGGGAATCATTTTGATTCCAGCTTCCTCTTCACCATCCCGCAAAAGCTCTCGAACAAGACGGTGTCTGTCCCCTGCACCCAACGTACTAAAACTCTCACCTCTTTCTCGTCCGGTTTCTGCCCGCGGACCAGCCGCATCTGCAGACGTATTCCCAACGCCACCTGGGCTGGAATCACCTTCAATTTAGCCGCACCCTCCTCACCAGCAAGTTTCATCTTCCGGCGGGCGAATCGCGACCACACATTTTCAGCAGCGAATCCCGTCCCCGAAGAACGTGTCTGATCCCAGGCCCAAAACCAAGGCAACGAGTTGAGTTCTGCATTTATCGTAGCAATGCTTGCGTCAATAGATGTTCCGGGTGGTAGTGTAAATGTGTAATCTGCAGGCCAAGGTAAAAGACTCTTCGGGCAGCCGGGGATTCCACGTGCAATACTCTAGACCAGCGGTTAGATAAGGCCGCACAAAACACGAGTACGGAGTGAGTAAAAGGTGGTAGGAAATGACTTACCATGGCAGGCCTTCGGTCTCCCCATGACCATGCCAGGGCCCAGCGCTTCGTCTTGCTTCCCTGCTCAAACTCGGTGACAGCGAAATTGGTGATGCCGTGTTTGATCAGTGTCTCTACGAGTACATTGATACTGCTCAATTTTCCAAGCATGGATGTGTACCATTGAATACGGTCACGCAGCTCAAGACTTTCGTCGATCATTTGCTTAACAAAAGCTACTTCTCCACCGCGGGTCACCATTTCCACCGCGGCACCGGTGCAGGTCTTCATGCAGGTCAGTACGGGATGGTACGTAAGTGGAATAGGGTGGGTTGTGTATAGTTGTTTGGCACGGGAAGTGGGGTTAGTGACACTCACGGAGAAGGGCTCTTGTTCTTTCTGCTCGGCAGATTGCTTCAGCTCATTAAACGAGGTGTAAAAGGGTGGGTTGCACATGGTGAAATCAAGGCTCGTGAATGGTCAGATAAGATTATAGCATGTGTTATCTCAAAGAGACTTACGTTTGGCGCCCTAGCTTTTCTAGCGGGAAGAGTGGTCCTGTGGGGTCGGAATGTACGATCTGAATACGTGATTCCAGGTTGTTCAGAGCCACGTTGTGCCGAGACGTGCGGATATTGTTCGAGTCGATGTCTATCGGGTTGATCAGTGGATACCGAAGATCCTCGGACTCAAAGACGTACCAGTTGCCACAAAGTTACATCGTGGCCGTGTCGCGCAGCCCAGAAGGGGGTAGATGCCGATGCAACCCGTTCCACTGTACTTTGTCAAACCTGATAAGGAGATTAGAGGGACTCATTACTCACATGTCAAGGCCGAAGATATCCCGGTCTCGGTCATATCCCTCATGCAGGCCTCCAGCGGTGGAATCAAGAAGGTCTTGCAGCCAGAGGATGTAATTGAGCCTATACTACATGTTAGAGACATGCGTGTGGGCCCAAGCCGTCACGCGGGACGACATACCTGTTTGGCACCTGAAAATCAAGTTAGTAGATATCCATAAAGTAGGATCATTATGTGCATACCGGTGGACACAGTCGATCCTCGGGGATTTCCACTTTCAGGTGAAAATCTTGTTGCAGAAGCGTAGTGGTGAGTTGTCTGCATGATGCAAGTCAGGCCCATTCTTGGAATGACAATTGTGAGACCTCCAGCTTACCGGACGGCGGCTGGATCAGTAAAGTTCAGTTGGCCGGTTTGGTTCAAGCTATATTTGATTAGTCGTCTTTTTGACAGAGCACAGCCCGTTTCACGTACTACTTGGCGAAGTCCCGCGATTGCAGCGCCAAGGCTGCAAAATCGATGTCATTTTTATAAAGGCTTCGGGCGGATTCCATGGCCAATATCGGGCTGCCTTGTGGAGGTTCTCCGTGTACTCGAGGTTATTGATAAAATTGAAATGTGGTTGGTTACAAAGAAAGCAAAGTCCACGGCGCAGGAGGGAAGATGATGTTGGCAAGTGGCTACGGAGCGCGAAAGCGGCCATGTGGAACTTTGACTGTACTGGTACACAGGCAGAAACCACATAGAACACATATGACCTACGTCCACTTATATAGGTTCAAGACTACATAATTGATTCTATAGAATGCTGTCATTGAGTAGATACTAGTATAGCATGCAAATCGCAGTGTGTTAGGTTTAAAATAAAGAAATAGAATGTCTATGGGTGAGTATAGATCTCAATTGAGAAGGCGGAGAGGACATAGGTACCAGGTGGCTGCTATCGTCGAGATTTGGCCCTACAGCAGCGTATCACGGCCTTGATGACATGGATATAGCCCTACATAAAAAGAAAGTGAAAGGTCCCAGAAGTGAAATTCTACCCGAAGGTAGCTGTAATGTTCGTCTGTCTCTATATAAGTGCAGCTAAACCCCCCCCAAAAAAAAAAAAGAAATCAAATAATTGCCGAAAATATGAGTAAGAAGTAAAACCATATAGCACCGCTTGTCGTCAAGTCGTGATAGGCCTCAATGCCCAATTATGTACTCAACCCCCTTCTATTTCCAATTTCGTCTCGTTTTTTCACCAAGGTATATCGATGGCCTTCATTTAAACAGAGCCTTCCTTCATTCGAAGGCGCTCTTGGCGCTCAAGACGCCATCCATAGCCCCACTTCGTCTCAACCATGAGAAGAGGGACCATCGCGAGGGTAATGCCAGCCAGCAAGACAAATGTGAACTGAGCAGTGATACCGTCAATAATAGATGGAACAGCTGCAACACCAGCAGCACCAATCAAACATCTCATCAGATTATTGATTGCCGTTGCACTAGCACTAGCACCGGGGTACAAGTCGATGACGAGGGCGCTGTTAATGGTAAAGATAGCGGTCGAACCATAGGCAATGATGAACTGCAGAATAATTGGGACTGCAATGTGTGTGCGAAGGGACACTCCGTAGACAGCGACGCAGACAATGAAGATAGCAGTGATCCACCAAGTGTTGCGCATGCGGGCGTACTCGATGGGGAAATCGGGGTGGCTTTTCAAGTTAATGCGAGTGTCGATGGGAAGGTTGTGCTGCTGACAGTATTCACGTTCTGTTCGCTTGTGGTTGAAGTCCATTAGGTATCCGATTGTGTAGGAGCCAGTCATGCATCCGAAACCATTGCCGAGGAAGGTGAGGCCGACTTCCAGTGAGTTCAGGCCATATTGTTTTTCGAATAGGTCAGATGTTGAGGAAGTTACCATTGACCAGACTGTGTACACAATGCTTCCATACAGCAAGGTGATAAAGACATCCTTCTCGAATAGAAAGGTGAGGGGTGCCAGCATGGTCTTGAAGGTCACTTTGCCCTTCTTTCCAGAGGGTGTTGAATCTTTCAGTGCGTCCTTCTGTCCGCAAATGGTGTAGATGATTGGCTTGTTGATGCCCTTGAGGGGAACCGTGCCGTTTCCAGCGATAGAACGGAGGGTTTCGGGGAGGAAGAACATAATAGAAAAAAGACTGAGTCCGGATGCAATAACCAAGAACCAGAAGATAGATCGGAACCCAAGGTACTGGGAGAGGATTCCACCAAATACCGGTCCAACTCCCTGGCCCAACATGCGAACTGGATACTGTTAGCTTATAGAACATAGCAATATATCGGAGTAGCGGGTTACTTACCACCACCAAAGATTCCAACCAGACTGCCACGCTCCGCTGAAGTGGTAATATCACCAATGACACCAGCACCTAGGCAAGTTAGCTAAGACATAGAATAAGGAGGATTATTGTATCATACCAATTGAGATGGTGGCTGCACTTCCGGCAGCCTGCAGCGCCCGGAAAGCCATAAGCTCACCATAGTTGACAGAGACGGCCAGAGCAATGTTCGCAACAATGTATACACCGAATGTTCCCATGAAAAGCACACGACGTCCCAAGACATCGGAGAAAGAACCCCAAAAGCTCGGGGCAAGACCTTGTACAATCATATATATCGTGACGGTTAATGTAGCTAGAGACATGGAGATGTTGAGTTCCTATATTGCGGTTAGCAAGAAGTGGCCAAATGTGTTACTCAAGTCAACTAACATGTGAAACGTCTGTAAGCGCAGGGAAGTAGATGTTTGAAGATAGTGGGGAGAAGATGGCAGCGAAGGAGACAATAATGACGATCCACAACTTGCGAGACCGAGTGAACACATGATAGGGTGGTGACGCCGTGGCTTGACTTTCAACGTCGGATGGCTCTGCTGGTGTTGTCGATACTGAGACGTCTTTTTCATCCCGAGGCGTGACATTAGGGCTTGAGATGACCGACTTGTCTGTGACCCCAGGATCCCTGAGGGTTTCTGTTGAACTGAACTGGGACAAGGTCATGATGGAAATTTATTATAGAATATGAAGACAACTCTGGATGTATCAACAGATACAAACTATTAACAGTAGAAGAGGAAGTATGGCTTCATTCGGCCTAGACAGCTTTAGAGATCTAGGAAGTTAAAATGATGGAATGGACACGCCTTTTGTATCTCAGTTCCAGCAAGAAACCCCTATAGGGCTAGTCCAAAATTACAAACAAAACATTAAGCAGACCCATGCTTCTGAGAGTTTACTAAACGTACTCCACAGTGGGTTCGACCAGGGGGATCACTACACCATCCCCTTGATGGTTGAAAGTGGCACGGATAAGACAAATCTGGTAAACCCAATGTCGCTCAATTTGATACGTACGGGCTATGATCCGCACTTGGAATACTCGAAGTCTTAGCCCAGTGCAGAATGACTTATGTCTCTAGTGCGGATGGCTGAATATCTATTGTGTCATTTCTAAGCCTCAAATGCTGACGTCTACCCCAGGGAAAGCACATTCCTGAGCTGCCCACGAGTGATTTGGGATCTGGTTGACTATGGGTGAATCATAGTATTGATACCTAACCTCATAGGGCAGATTCCAATACCCACAAGAATTCTTTTCGGTCTCCATAGACTCGTGTACAAAGGAATCGATCTGCACTGCATCTGCATCACACAAGCCCGGTTTCACCCTCAAGGTTTGCAATTCGGAGAAAAGATGACGGGAAAAATCTGTTCAACGCTTGCATACGGAGTATGCCTACTCGGCGTAGTTCCGTAGCATCTTTTGTGTCCTAAAGGCCCCGAAATTCTGCAGGACCAGGGGTGTTGATAAGCCGGCTAACCAATCCACTAACAGCTTCCAGGCCATCTATGTCTTGCCGAGGCGGCATGTCTATTTTGATTATAGGAAAAGGGAAGCTGAAACCCGATTTCCCGTTGGAGGGTCTCATTTCCTCCACGTGTGGAATATCAGCCATTACGATCACTATCTGTCAAGCAAATGCCAAGCTTCGTCATTTTCCCTGATCAATATTGTTTCAGAAAAGATTATTGGACAAAATACGCCATTGACTTACGTGTGCATTCCCCCTTGATGAATCTGTATAGGGGAAGTTGGCCCTTACTGCTCACAAGTCGCCAATCGGGGACCCGCAAAGGGGCGCGGCTGGATTCAAGGTTTGGCATCACAACCCAATGACGATGCACTATAATTCCAGATAAGTGATATCCGCAGGTTACTAACCAATGCAGCTGGATTGTCACACAGATATGGATAAAAAGAATGTGTCCAAGACTTTCTTTCGGGCCAAGGTTCGCGCTACTGTGTAGACAGGAGAAGATCGACAAATTGAATGGTCTATATGGAATACAACGTACTTTGTAGGTACTACATGCATACAGGCGTACTAGTTATTAGTGTGTAACTACTCCGTACAGTATATACTATATTCTTTGTACATATATTCCAATCAACGTGTCGATCAGATCCACAAGATGCCCCTGCTGTGCAAGCTTTTCCACATAGTCTATTATTATAGCGTGGTGAAGCGTATCTGACTCCACTGATCCGCCGCGAAACCCCTAGAATCCGTAGCGGGGCCGCCAAGATCTCGTCGTGATTGATCAATAACTTGCACATCGCTTCGTAATTGAGCGTCGACATTACACTTTCGGGGTGTTTTTTCTATCTCGATCCCAGCTATCAGTTCGGTTAAGGCTGGACAGGGCTGCCTCTACCCTGTAAGGCTGATTTGATGCAGTCTCCTATCTTAGCAACTATCTGATTCTCAATTTTGATGCCTAACGCCAAGCCCGTCCTCCGGTTTTACGGCGAGAACGGCTTTGGCGCGGATGCCGATTCTCGGGTGCCCGATGCCATCTCCGTTAGTGCACGTTGGGTGGCTCAATTAGCAGATTGGTCCGAGATGGTCCGCGATCCCCACTTCTAAACAATATAGGGGTCTGGACCCCTCAGTTGGAGTAGGGTTGCAGCTGTTTCCAAGCCCTCCAAGCCTCCCAAGCCTTCCGAGTCATATCATGCATGTTGTATGCTGAAAATGTGTCCTTTTTTGGACCGAGGCCTAAATCATCGTGATGATAACATTTCGCGCACATCTGAATTTGGCAAATTACCCGTGTACTGTTGTAGCGAGGATCTTCCTGAAGAATATCCAAGTCTCCTCATTCGGTATATCTCGGCCCCACAAGTCGCAACGGAGCTGAGAAGCATCTTTAGTGAGAAAATAATTAATTTATACAATGAATACATGTCTGGGAACTTCATGTAATTGGACTAAACGTGCTATGGCTGCTGCATGGGTCTTGGAGTAAAAAAATTCATAGCTTCCAATATTGACATCAATCCAACTTGCTGACATGCCAAGCACCCCATGGCCCCCAATGCAAGTTTTTGTTTTTTTTTTTCTAACTGTCCTTCCTATCAGGAATGGATTTTACCTTACGCGTTCTCTCGAAATTTCTTGAAACAATAGTTTCTATCCACTATAGCTTTCAAACTGACAGATGTAGTAGATCCCCCTGACAGGTACGATTATCCGCATTTGAAACACAGTCTAGTCATATAAATCTAGTAATAGTGGCAATGAAAGCAAAGATGATCATTTCAAATCTGTCTGTGTTACGAACACATGAGGCTGTGTCTAAACTATTTGGCCTAGCGCTTCAATAAACAAGCGCTTTGACCAGGGGATTTGCAGATCTGAAGCAGCCCCTAGCTTTGTGAATACGCCAAAGGAAGCTGACACACACAATCTAATATAAAGAATTCCAGAGCTTCCCGCTAAGAATGCAGGGCTAATCTACACCAACATACACCCTCGCATGTCGTCATCGTATGAAATGAAGTCCTCAAATGTCATCCCCCAAACTGCCGATCATTCCATCATTCTCATGGTCGCTGGAGTTTCCTCTATTAACAGAAACGTTTAAAGTACTGCTCAATATTAAAACCCCAGTCCCGTTTTTCTGGCGCACTTCAGTATAATGATCCTGTTTAGCATCATGTTGTTGGGGCCAAAACAAAAGTCTAGATTGGACCCTGTGGACCGGGACACTCACTGCACGCGCTCTCTTTCCTGAATGTATATCCTGAGGGTCGACCCTACAGGGTCCTCGGAACGACCCTGATCGTCGACATATGGAACTCGCGTGCGAATCCTGCGATTGCGTGAGTTTATCCCAAGGATATCACAATCTGATAGCGCTGTGGCGTGAAGATGCATGTCTCATGATAAGAACCGAACCAAGTTATTGGGGGAAATTACACTATATTGTAGTTATACTCCGTAGTGTACGGAGTATTCCGTACAAGAATAGTCGGCTGCATATGCACCTTTATCACGTATTTCTTGGTAGTCTTTTCGAAAATCTTTTTCAGTCTGTGCAGATGTATTTTCACATGTTCTTCTGGATGGTCTTTATTTTAGATATTCTGCCGCATATTAATACTGTAGCTAGAATACATGTGAAGATGACTTCAAACGTGCAACCCGATTTTTCTATTATAAGCTTTGATATGATAAATCTCTACCCATAGATTAAGTCGCCTAATGTAGACTAGCGTATCTTTTTCACGGCGGAAGAGGCGGAAGAAGCGGAAGGATTTCACGGCCCCACTTGGGATTTCTTGGCACATTTGACCCAAAAGTGAGGATTTGGCGGACGTCCGCACCTGTCGGAGTATTTACAGCACCAAGGGTCTAGATTTCTCTAGTAATCTAGGTGAAACAAAAAAAAAACGGGTATCCTAGAAGGCTCTTTATACGTCTATCTGCATGTCTAAATTTCCGAGCCGTGATGAATTCGGCATTGAGAGTCATTGGCCCGAGTGGTCCGATTACTTCAATGTAAGATATTAGCTTGAACCAAATAAAAAGATACAATTTTTACTGGCGATATATTTATATGTATATCTATATATAGAGTTCAAGGTTGATAACAAGTTCATTCGTGAATGTAAATTCTTGACTATTGTTTATACAGTAATTGCACTCAGGATCACCATGCTCAGACGGAGTTATAGCGCGGCTTTTGTTCTGATCAAAGTGACTGCAGATATATAGCCATATCTGGATATAAATAATTTTTATAGCATTGCGAGTTAGTATAAGACTTTTCTTCATGGAGCTAAATAATGAGTTTTAGTAATGCCCATCAAATATATATATCACCAACAAGAGTACAGATATAATGGTGTAGGTACACCTGCTATCAAATAACCAAGAAATGACAGACCAATCTTTGGGTCTCTAACATTATTGTTAATACAGTTTAATCAAATTGCTGAAATTGCTGGACATCGCAATGCTCGTGTTGGCTCTCGTTCTATATAAATGTATGACGTATGTTGTCCGGTGGAATGTGTATTCCGCCTAACAGCTCCCATCGATGAGTGTAAATGTATTGAGATGTTAAGATACTTGAGATATTAAGATACTGACTAGATGTACACATAAAACTTTTCAACGAGACTGTTTATTTATTTATTAGATTGAGTATTACGAATTTTTGTTTAAGAATACGCATCTCCAAAGATCTATAGATCGTAAAGGGTTTCATTATCTCTATTAAATATGTCGAGTCCCCAATACTTCAACTACGACGGTTGGGGCTAGAAAGCAAAACGAGACTTCTATTGCACCCAAGCCGTCCGAATTGGTGATCGCATCGAATGTGCAGGCCAAGGTATCTACATGAGTCACGAGGCCTCGCTTTCCGAATGAACAGATCGTGCTGATAACATCATGAACAGGCGGCCGGGACCTGGAAACCTTTTAACACATCAAGAAACCAATGCACAGGGCGCCCGGGCTTTCGTCAATGTGGACCTGGACCTGGAGCACGGTGGAGGATAAGGCTGGAAGCAGGTGTTTCAGCTGAACTCGTATCGCGTCCCGATCAACGATGAGGCTCTTGAGGCCAATGGCAGGTAATTTTGAGAAATGGATACCGAGCCATTTGCCCACTTCGGCATGTATTGGGATAACGATGGCTCGGCGAGGATGATATGCGGGTTGAGATTGAAGTTGTAGGTCGTGATCCACAAGAGATCGAGATTGAAGGGGACATGGCGGGAGATGCGTTTATGGATCACGAACCCATCTAGCTCTTGTGTTGAAGTGGCGGGAGTGGGCAGTACCACACGAAGAAACGTATTAGCCTAAGAATGGGAGAAGAAGCCTTCTCAAATGTCGTGATCTTAGCGTTTGTCGCCTCTACCACCGCCTCGGCCACCCCTACCGCCGCCTCTGCCGCCTCTTGTTTTGCCCCTTCCTCTCCCGCCCATCATACGGCGTCCTGATGCCTGGACGCGCGCGATGTCATCTTTGTTCAGGTTCAATGTGCCTCCTGAGAACTTGCCCACAGAGGATCCGGCAACACCACGCTCTCTTCGCCCGTTGTTGCTCGATTTCTGTACCTTGCTAGGCTTCTCGAGAATGATGCCGTTCTCCTTGGCTTCTTGGCGGCGCCTATCTTCCTTTGAGGCAGCCTTAGCTTTGATGCCTCGTCGGTGCGCAGTGGGCATTTTAGTTTGCGCATAGAGCGAAGTTTTGGCCCCAAGAGATTGCATGCGCAGATCCAAAGCCTTCAAACGGTTCTTTCCAGTAGGAGCGAGGTCATCGGCGGATTCGAGAAGGTGTGACTCTTTAAGTAGTCTTTGCAATGCAAGATCGTGCTTGAGGTTTGCAGAGTCGTGGGCATCTTCTTCTTCTTCTTTTTTGGATGTAGGTTCTGGCTCGGTGCTCGGCTTATCTAAGTCGGACAACAGTTTCCCACTCTGCAGGTCTGAGCGTTAGCATTGAGCTTCAATGCACTGAAACCTGGAGATCTGGCACATACCCTAAACGCCTTCCAAGTCTTCTTGTCCATTCTGTCTTCTGGTGCCGCGTAGGTATCCGTGTGCTCGACCACCTCGACTTGGTTGCTCTCATCACTGATATCGGACATCCCATCCCAGTCACCCTCCGACCCAGAGAGATCAGAGCCATCGTCGTCCTCATTTTCTTCTTCATCCGAGTTTGTAGATTTGGCGGTAGAAGCTGGCAAATCGAGTGGCTCGAATTGCGCTTCGAATAATCTGCGGAATACGTCCTGCGCATTGTCCACCGGAGGAGGGGTGTCTTCCTTGGCCTTGGGCTTGGAAACCACAGTGGTTTCTCTCTTTCGTTTCACGACCATGGTGGATATGCTGCCGATTAAATTAGAAAATCAAACACTCGCGTCTCGGCCCAAAAGTTTTTCGGACTAAGCTCAAGATCACGTGCGATAAGGATAAGCCGCCCCTCGATTCACAGACCTGGAGATCGTCACTAAATCAACTTATTCTCCAATTCACCGGAGAAAATGACCAAGTTCAGGCCGTGCATTGACCTGCATTCAGGGCAGGTCAAGCAAATTGTGGGCGGTACGCTCAGCCAGGTAGCCGCAGACCTGAAGACCAACTACGTATCCAAGCTCCCGGCCAGCCACTATGCGGGATTGTATCAGAAGCATGATTTGCGCGGCGGACACGTTGTGAAGCTTGGACCAGGGAATGAAGAGGCAGCCCAGGAGGCGTTGAAGACATGGCCGGGTGGGCTGCAAGTGGCCGGGGGTATCACCGATAAGAATGCGCAATATTGGATCGATCAAGGTGCCGACAAGGTAAGCAATCGGACTCCAGACGGATTACTATTTGTTCGCTTGGCGTCGTGCTTGGTCGAGGACACAATAATATCTATCCTTTTACTTCAAATTCCTGTTTGGTTGCGCTCCGTCATAGCAAGAGTTCGATGACGCTAATCTGTGGAATGCGGGCAATAGGTGATCATCACTTCATTCCTCTTCCCTGGGGGCAAGTTCTCTCTCGAGCGGCTCGAGTCCGTCCTTGCTGCCCTTGGCGGCGACAAGTCAAAGCTGGTCTTGGATCTGAGCTGCCGCAGAAAAGACGATACTTGGTTCGTTGCGATGGACCGTTGGCAAACCATCACGGAGATGGAGATCAACAAAGGTATGTCATGCCAATACTGAAGATAAGTTGATTTGGGCTCACTAACTCTGTGTAGAATCTATCTCAATGCTGGAACCATATTGCGCCGAGTTCCTAATCCACGCTGCAGACGTAGAGGGCCTGCAACAAGGCGTCGACGAGGAACTTGTTTCAAGATTGGCTGAATGGTGTACTATTCCTGTGACCTATGCAGGAGGTGCACGCCATTTACAAGATCTGGAAAAGGTCCACACTAGTAGCAATGGAAGAGTGGATTTGACGATTGGCAGCGCGCTAGATATTTTTGGCGGCTCTGGAGTGACGTTTGATGAATGCATCGAATGGAACAAAACGCATTAAAAATAAAAAAATAAAACAAAATGAATAGATTATATCAAAAAGGTTATAACGAGCCGAATAGTATTTCCATATCCTTATTTAATGTTTGATTGAAGAGATGAAAACAAAAACAACAAGGAGACGAGTCACAGGTGTGTCTGGACTTGTCCCAAAGCGGCTTAGGGGCTTCCATCAACTGAAGGTCCGCCCGCCTCCGTATCTCAAGTCTTCAACCTCAACTCTCTGTATTAGCCGATTTGCGACCACCTTTCTCCAACAAACTACCTATCCCGCCCATTCTCCAACACTCCTTACCTATCAACAAACCGTCAACATGAAGCCCGTCGTCTCTGCCTTGAACGCCTGGTCTTGGTAAGCTCCTCCATCCCAGACAACATCCATCGAAAGTCCTATTGCTCTAACACCTTGTTTCTTGCATAGTGTTATTATCTCCGTTTTCGCAATCATCATCCTCTCAGTCCTCGGCTCGCTATACAGCGTACGTTTCCCCGACTCTGACATAACCATCAAGCCCTCCAAAGATCCGTTGTCATAGACCTACGTAATATGGGGTTCACTGGCTAACACGAAGATCCTAATTATAGAGCAACAACCACGCATACACTGGATCAAAAGACGAACCCGAAGATGGCCCCGCAGTCGCCGCCTCTATTTACACCGCTGTGATCGTCTATGCTGTACGTCATTCCCCCTCTCTAAGCGTTGGACGAGGAAAGGAATCGGTTACTGACAATGCGCTTTTCTGGCTCATAGGGTTTCTTCGTTTTCTGCGGTTTCCAGGCTTACCTTCACATGCGAGACAGTAGGGGAGGTGCTATATCACTGCATTGAAATTGCTTTGGTCCCTTTTTCCTTCGATGTCTTCATGACACCTTCATCTGTCGATTTTCAATCTTGGAGCTTATATCTCGGGCTTTCTTGAGTACAACACGGTGGTTTAAATTTGATGCTTTGGGAGTGATTCGAGACTGAGATAATATTTTCGATTCTTTAGAGTATGAATCACCCATTTCTACTCTGTGCGACCTGGATTCATCTATGTTATAGATGAGTAGGGTCGGACTAAACTTGAAAGGCGTTGGCGGGCAGGTTTCCCGGTCTCCTTTGCTAGAATACACAGATGGCCGACCTGCGACTTGTACATAGAGCACTCATGATTATTTCCAGTTCTTTGATATCTCATTTTTGTCCATTGGATGCATCTAAAGATAAAATTTGGTATAGACATTCAATCATTTGTCCTTCGTTGAGAAGAAAATCAAGTTTTTGTGAGACCGCCAACGCCAGGAGATGCAAAATCAGATACCGAGCCTCGGCTGGGCATCTGGTTTCCTTTTTGTTTTTTTGTTTTTGTTTTTTTTTTCTGTTTCTTTGCAGACAATTTACTCCTCGTCCTCCCATGGATCCAACATCTTGGACATGTAAGGACCATCAAGGAAGTACCCGAGACGAGCATAGTAGCTACGCACACCAACACCGGAGATAACACTGATCTTGCGACTACCGTGCTCCTCGCGGGCAATACGCTCCGCCTCCTCCATCAACAAAGTTCCAAAACCACGGTGTTGGAACTTGCGGGCATCACGCCCGTGAAGCGGCACAGCAGAACCGTAGACGTGAAGCTCGCGGACGATACTCGTCTGCTGGCCGGTAAACTCAGGGCGGAATGTGTGAGTCTCACTGCACTTGCGCAGACGAAGCAATCCAATGAGAATATCCTGCTTCGGGTCTTCGTATGCCAAGAAAGTCTCCCATCCAGCATTGGCAGTGTAGTCACGGCGGATCAACTCAATCTGCGATGGACGGATCTTGTTCTTAACTTCGTTGATACCGACTTCTCTCGTGCGGACATCACGGCAGGTAGTACCGAAGTCCTTCATACGCGCCAATGCTAGTTCGCGCAGGTTGCCGTTCTCGACACCGGAGGTAACAAGTGGCATGGGGATATCACGCTGGACTCGGTAGATACGGGTCCAGGGGGAACTAGGGCAAGAATACGTGCGACAAGGTCGATAAGTGCGTTGGGCGTGTAGTTCTTGTAACGGCCGGTGCGCCACAGCTCGTAGAGACCGGTGCCTCGAATGACAAGCGTGGGGTAGAGTTTGAGACCGTCGGTGCGGAAGTTGGGGTTCTCGAAGTACTCCTGGAACTGGAATAGATCGCGCTCCATTCCAACGTTAGGTAGATCGGGCATCATGTGGCTGACAACCTTGAAACCGGCATCTTTAGCAAGCCTGAACGTCTCAGCTACTGCTGCTACAGTGTGGCCGCGGTTGGTGTCTCGGGCAACGTCCTCATACAGACTCTGCACACCAATTTCCAACCGCGTACAACCGTAGCGGAGCATGCTGCTCAGATGCGTATCCAGACAGTAATCTGGCCGGGTTTCGATTGTGATACCCACACACTTCACGTTGCTCATTTCGCCTGCCAGCACGGCCTCGTCAACATTGTCCGTTTGATATCCACTCAGTGCGTTGTGAAGCTGGGAGATGAAGGTGTCTCGGTAATCTTCCGGTAGGGACATAAATGTTCCGCCCATGATAATGTATTCCACCTTGTCCACACTGTGACCGAGAGCTTTGATCTGGTCCACACGTCCTCGCGCCTGCTCAAACGGATCGTAACGAGCGCGGATTGCGCGCATCGAGGTTGGTTCATATCCAGTATATGACTGAGTCGAGTATTCGAAATCGGAGTCGGGGCCACCAGGGCAATAGACACAGATGTTACCGGTATACGCGATGTGGGGGCATCGATGGGGTTTGCACATAACCGCCACCACGGCGATACCAGAGGAGGTTCCTATGAACGAGGTTAGCGATAGTCCAGCATTCCTACTTGAATGTAAACGTACGAATCGGCTTCGCAATCAGCTTTGGCAGGATGTATTTCTTGTAGTGCTCAGGCACTGCCGCGATAATGGCCGTCAGTGGCGGGGAACTGGACAAGCTGTGCTTCTTCGAAAAGGTAGCGCGCAACTTGTTGAGATTGAGATCTTTCTTGGGCTTGTTAGAGTCTCTGTGCGACTCATAGTCTTGAATGAGAGCATTTGCAATGTCGGAGCATGCTCGCATGAATCGCTCGTTCTCTGGGACGTTCTTTGCGTTCTTCTTGGCGGCCCTTTTAATTTCCTGCGATGTCATAGTCATGGTAGCCATGGTGAAAAGAATAACACCGCGCCTAGGCGGAAAATGTTTTCAATAACCAAAAGCGACACAAGTTGTACTTGGTGGGGTTTGAGGTTGATTAGATCAAAAAAGTTGGTTGTCGAGGCCTGCGCCCGAGTTCAGTTCCGCTTAAGTAAAATAATTATCCCGAGCGAAAACTCCCGGGTACGTATCCCGAACACTTGCCCTTTATCCTGTCCTTTTCTTTCCTTCCACCTCACCTCATATACCTCACCTCTCCCCTCAAACATACAATCTTGCAGCAATGCAGGCCTTCCGCCGTAACACCCTCTCGGCCCTTCGCAATGTCGGTGCCACCCAGCGTCGGACTCAGGCCACCTCTGCCTACAGCGAGACCTTGAACAACCTTAAGATCAACAAGGACACCCGCGTTCTCTTCCAGGGTTTCACCGGAAAGCAGGGAACGTAAGTGCAATCTTTGCGCTTTCATTATCGCACGCGCATCATGCTGACTTTTGACCTCGACATAGCTTCCACGCTGAGCAGGCCATCGCCTACGGTAAATATTTGTCCAACCGCGATCGCATCCAAACAATAGCTTACACAGAACAGGCACAAATGTCGTCGGTGGTACCAACCCCAAGAAGGCCGGCACTATGCACCTTGACCGTCCCGTTTTCGCCAACGTTAGCGATGCTGTGAAGGAGACCGGTGCCACAGCTTCCGCCATCTTCGTTCCGTATGATCAATCAACATATTCTCTCGAAATACCAAAAAAATGATGCTAACTGCAATTAGCCCCCCTCTTGCCGCTGCCGGTATCGAGGAGGCCATCGCTGCTGAGATTGGCCTCGTTGTTTGGTACGTGTCCGATCGAACTCCCCTTGCAAATAACTTTTTCTGACAGCTTCTGGTCCAACAGCATTACTGAGGGTATCCCCCAGCACGGTATGGATCGATCGACCCCCAATTTCGAAGCGCGCGAACTGATTGATTTCATATAGACATGGTCCGCATCACCGACATTCTTAAGACCCAGAACAAGACCCGCCTGATCGGTCCTAACTGCCCTGGTATCATCGCTCCCGTAAGCTACCACTCCAACTTTCTGCAATAATTCGAGTCGCGCCAAATACTCACACATCTTGTTCAATAGGGTCAATGCAAGATCGGTATCATGCCCGGCTTCATCCACAAGCGCGGTCGTGTCGGTATCGTCTCTCGTTCCGGTACCCTGACCTACGAGGCCGTCAACCAGACCACCCTCGCTGGTCTCGGTCAGTCTCTCGTCGTCGGTATCGGCGGTGACCCCTTCTCCGGCACCAACTTCATTGACTGCCTCAAGGTCTTCCTCGAGGACCCTGAGACCGACGGTATCATCATGATCGGTGAGATTGGTGGTTCCGCCGAGGAGGATGCCGCCGAGTTCTTCAAGGCCAACAACATCCACAACAAGCCCGCCGTCTCCTTCATTGCTGGTATCTCCGCTCCTCCCGGCCGCCGTATGGGTCACGCCGGTGCCATCGTCAGCGGTGGTAAGGGTGGTGCCGATTCCAAGATCGCCGCTCTCACCGATGCTGGTGTCATCGTCGAGCGCAGCCCTGCTTCCCTCGGCAAGACCCTTCTTGCTGAGTTCGTCAAGCGCGACCTTGTTTAAGATTGTCGCCCCTTTTCATGCATCGCGTGTCTTGTTGTCCTGGTTTTGAAGACTGGGATCTGAGGTATATGTGCTATTTTATACTATGGGGTTTTATGGGCTGTTCCTTTTCGGCTGCTCCTGTATTCATTTTCTCCTTTGTGTTAGAGATCCTTGAAGTAATCATGCTCGTGTAATTATTACTGTGTGCTACCTGTGCAGAGTAGATGGTAGAAATATGTCAATATATGGATACCATCCTTTTCAAGTCCACGAAGCAGGCTCTTTGAGCGGTTCATCCCTCACTCACTATTTACCTCGACTTGTCTTCATTCCAATTCTTATACCGGACATCCATGGTAAAACATGCGTCTAGAAACCCTTACGAAGTGCAGTAGAGAACGGAAGCCACCTGGGCAACTAGCAGTCATAGTACTCGAAGAAAGTGAAATTTAATACAAATCCATTTAGTTCAAGGTGGTGGGCCAATGTTCCAGTTTGAACAGCTGATGCTATGAGAGGCAGACCAGATATTTCAGACCTCTAGAAATACCTCTAGTTCTACTCCGTACGTCAGGTTATCATGGTTGATAGCATTACAGAAGAGGCCCGCTCTGAGGTCTGTCCCTGATGTAGACAAGATTAAGCGATGATTTACCTTTGCCACCACTCATTTTGTTCCGCCTAACTTTCATTTCCTCTGGTCTCGATTTTTAGTTTTACTTCTTCTCACCATCTACAATGTCTACAAGTCAGACTACAAGAACATGGACGGACAGATTGTCTCTCTCATCCCTGCGTGCATTTGTATATGATGCATGCACGCTATATGAACAGAATAGATGAACAAATACAGAACTGTGTGGCGGGTTGCCACTACATGATAAAAACAGTTGCCTTTGCCCATGGACAAGGATAGGCCAGGTCCCAGGGCGCCTCTGGGTCCTGGTCTCCTCTCCTTTACCCTCAGGTCAACTCTCACAACTTCCGACCCCCCATCTTCTCCTCCGGCTTCTGTAAGATTTTTCTTTTGATGTCTGCAGACATCACAAACTCTCCGTCCCTCCATTCCTCACTCTCCTCGATGGAACCGGGATCCTCGTCTTCCCAATCGCTCTCATCCTCCTCGAACTCCGACCCACAGTCACCGAGGTCTTGGTCTGCCTCAGTGCTGTCTTCCTCGTCTGATTTCCCCAGAAACTCGTCTTCGCTCTCCTCCCTATATCGGAGCTCCCACTTCTCCCACTCATCCCACTCGTCTTCTTCGTCGTCCTCGATCGTGGGAAGGGGGATGGGCTTGGTGGTGTCCCCCTCAGTGAGGGGCCACGCCCATTGGAGTAGGACATCCATCTTGTCGGTGTAGTCCTCCGCATCGAAGTTCAGTGCTTGGGTATAGGCTACCTTGAGCCGGCCGTTGTCGAAATACCCATGCAAAACTCGAACTCGAGCATCGGGGAGGAAGGAAATGACCATTGTCTATATAACAGTCAGTCAATTATGTCCTGGGAGGTAGCCTAGAGTAACTGGGCTTACCGGGAAGTCAAGTTGGGGACGTTCATGTCGGTGGTACCTACCGACTTGGTGCTTGTGGTTTTTGATTCCACTAAGCATCCATCGAACAAGTACCATGAGCTCTCCAATTGACGGGAGGGTGTCATGGTAGCAGTTGTCGCTCTTCATGACGACGAGTTGGTGAGCGGACTTTCCGTCTGCGCTCGTGGCTCCCATTTGAATGGTAAAGCCGTGCTGGTCATTGCTGTTGAAGAGACTACTGTCCTCTCCATACATGCTACATTTATCCAACGTTAGTCTTTAAGGTTCTTTTTCTATCTATTGGGGATTTAGACTTACGGGACCAGTTCCCAGAAGATGGGGGTGTTTCTGCCCCCGGGGGATTTGCGGAGGTACTTCGAAAATGCCTGGTGGAGTTGATGGTGCATCTCTTGGGGGATGAAGTCTTGAGTGTGCTTCATCGCCCGAACCCACGTGAACGGGTCGTCCACGGGGTCTTCGGGGTTGAGTGCAGTGTTGGCGATTTTGAAGTTGGTGTCGGTGTCGGGTGTGAAGAATTGGATGAGGGAAGGGTCGGTGTTCCCAGTCCAGAAGTCCATCGGGTGGAGGTCAATATTGGCATACTGGTTTGATATATAACCAGGCTGCATGCCACGGAGCCCTCTGTAGAGGTTCCGGAGGCTGTGCTCCTTTTGTCCAAAGAGCCAAACCCAAAGTGGAGGGCACATTGTGAAGCCACCTGGGGATTGGAATGGTGAAGAAGGAAGGGGAAAAAAAGAGAAGGTGCAGCCTACGGGGGTTCTTTTATGTTGTTCCTTGGTCAATTTCTAGGTTTGCTCCGACTTCCAGGACTATATCTACTATACCTAAATAAGGTAATGGCTGGGCTATACCAGTGGATTTGCTCCGTATGTCAACAGGAACCAAGCCTAAATTGGACTGATTCCAACCTATAGAGCTTGTTTTTCATGCATGGAGCTCCCAGGTCTTCGGATGCTGTATTGGGTAGCGGGTGGCTCTTGCCTAGCTGTGTGCCTCTTCAACAAATGATATAATTTATACATAAGAGTGAATATACTGCAGTAAAATAGAACCCTGTATATTCCGACTCCCTAGGGGGTATCGGCCTGAAAATGACGTGAAAGTGAGAGTGAATAAAGGCTAAAATCTACAGTAAGAAGCAAGTGTGAAGGGAAGAAAGCTTGATTTCACAGTAAGAAGTAAGCGAGCCTGAGATGAAAGGCATATCGGGCGACCAGGCAAGCCTTGTACCAAACTTTATCGATATCAAGACCGCCCAGACTCAAGCGACTACAGATCAATAGACTAATAGGTGTGTGAGGTTCTCCACGAGATTTTATGGATATGAAAATTTGGATACTCGAGGGTGGAAGAGCCAGAGTCTCTACTAGTTACCTTACAAGTTTCAACCAGACAGAACCTGCTGTAGCCATGATCTGTTTGAATATGACTATCAACCGTGTATATAAAGTCGGCCTTGTCCCACTGGTTAGTTTACGACCCGCTCCTCCATACTGTTCATTATAGAGACGAAAACGCATCTCAACGAGCTTATTGAACGCACGGGTTATAAGCAGATGAGAGCATTGGTTTGGGGTAACTTGAGTTGTCATGGCACGCGTTTCCAATTTCATGATCGAGAAAGTGCAGGACTTACGAAGGAGATATAGTCTCATGTGAATTCAACAACTCGAGATTAAGTCCATTATATACTCAGACAATATTGCGCTAGCTTTGGATTTTGCTCAAAGCCTCAGTAACCTCCTTTGTGGCAAATACATCCGCAAATTCACCATCGAGGCTAGCAACAGAAACCTTCTGAATAGTTTCCGCATCAATTCCAGCCTTGCCAAAGGTAGCCGTGGCATCCTCAACAAGCACAATACGCCCCTTATCGATTTTTGGATCATTCTCATGAGTCCCATCCGATCTTAACCGGACAGGCCCATCTTCAAGATACCGATCCACAACCCCGAGATTAGCGGCCATTCGTACAGTAGTTGAAACACAATGATCAGTCGTCAACCCAGCAATGATAAGCTGACGGAATCCCTTTTCACGCAAATGCGCTTCAAGCCCAGTACCGATAAAAGAGGAATTGACACTTTTCCAAAAGACAGGTTCCGACCCATCTGAGGCAGGGGTGGCAAAGTCTAAAGGACGGAGACCCTGTCCAGGGTTGGAGGGGTGGAACGGAGATTCGGGAGTTGTGGAAGAGTGAAAAACGTGCATCACCTCCAGCGGCGTTGAAGATGAGGATCTTGCAACTCGGAATGCGGAGAGAAGTGCTTGAAGGTTGGTTTCATAATTCGGGTTGGATCGTGTGCCCCAATGGGATATTGTCTTTGGGTCGGAGAAGCCTGATTGGTTGTCTATCAGGATCAAGGCTGTCGGAAGAGTAAATTCCAATGCCATTTTTCGGGTTGGGATTCTAATTGTTGCTCAGTAGGATCTTTTCGGGATATTGGTGAAATTGTAGCTCTCAAAAGGGTTTCTTACGGCTCTAGGGCAGTGGCATTTTCGTGAGTCACCCCGCTCACTAATCCACCTGGAAACCCGTGGACATCAAGGGCATTTACAGCATTGTAATCTTAATAACTTCATGTTTTGGGATATATCGGCGCTAAAACTTCTGTATTTACCTAGTCAAAGAACTAGCCTTCAGAAGAGACCTTTCGCTTCCTAATTCTAGATCATTTTCGCCAGTTGGCTTCATCTTATTTTGGTCCTTGCTCACTGCATTGTTTCAGGAAAGGCGAATCAATCGTCAGGATTGCCTTGGAAATTTTTCGTAACCTGAAGTTATATATCGACGCTATGCTTGAAAGAGATACGTCGTACCCCTGGCCATTCCAACAATTTTTCTGTCATGCCTAGCATAGCACATCGATCTGGGGGTTAGCATCATTGATACTGAATCCCACCTCCCTCCGTCAAGCCAAATGACAAGTTGACCGTAGCAAATTAGTAACTTCCTCCCTGAGAAGTTCTGTGTAGTCAAAATAATCTCATCCTAGCCTTACAAGGCTTCTAACCCTACTACAAAGCTCGATAAACAGAAATTCGGAAATGCTCACACATCTGTGATTTATGTTTCATATATTTTACTAGGCTCGCTCAGTCAATGCTTTACACCCAGGTACCTTTGCCATCGAGGTCTCTAGGCAACCGCAACGCTAAGTACACATAGCGCATATTTTTGGTGCTATGACATTAGGCCATAATGTGTGTTTCTAGGTATGACAAACATACAATGTCGGAGACACCCACCCTTTTCCATCGTATCCCCATTTATCCATTCTTTCACACTATCCACCTCTTTGTGCAGTAAATTAAAACCCACCCTAAAGCCCACCCTTCAGTCTCTTTCTAGTCACCCGTAGTAGTAGCATACTCTATACTAGGTTGCCTGCCGCATGACTTCTAAGATTTGGCCCCCATTGATCAAGAAAAGCCAAAAAATTGATATGAATAACCGGAAGGTAAAACATTGGCTGTACCGCTAATAAACACCCCAGTGTATTATTTGGTACCAACAACACAAAGAAAAGGATAGGTACAGATGTACTCCATGCAACGCAATCAAGGTATTACTAGCTGATTACGGAGTACATGGCAACAAAGAAAAAGCTCCGCTAAGAAAGCCACACGACCCGCAATCCCGACTCTAAGAGGCCTAGAACATATAGCGTTCAAAATAACTGAGGCTAGTATCTCTACTCCGTATCTATCCTCTAATATTGCTCGCAATATGATTAATGACACCCGACATAAGACGTTTGTCTATGAGCATAACTGTATCTGTCAGGTTGACGGTTGATAAGGCGTAATACTGGCGCCAAATGGGGCTATTTTCAACTAAAGGGCAGTGCAAATGATAACACCACCAATGAGGTTAGCCAAACGCTGAGAGGCTCATGACACGTCCACACACCCCTGTCGGGCAACTGAGTCCAGGCTCGAGAGAGTGTGCTGAAGGAAATCTATCGAAAATGGTAGGCTTGAGTACATGACAGAACAAGCGAGCGACATATGCTAGTAACAGATTGGCATTAGTGGTGAATCGTGATTCGATTCTAGCCCCCGGCCCCCTAAATGTACTCCGTAACCCGCCCCCAAACCTCGCGACCTAGGAATCGCGACCTAGGAATCGAACCCCTGGAAGATACAAAAGTCGACCCACTGGCTGCGGACCTTGGTGCCCTTCGTGCCCTTGGTAAGGTTGATTTCGAGGTCAATGCTTATGTCGAGGGAGCCTACCCTAATGCAAATTCTACTAGAGTGACCAGGGTGTGAGGGCGATCGTACTTAATAACAGTCGGATACCGTACACTGTAGGAGAAAAATTTAACATATATTTGATATTTTGTTCCTTCTCCTTTGCATAATTTTCTTCGCTCCAAATATCTCAATACTGAAACTTCCTTGGGCCAAAGTCATATCTTAATATCTAGAGCCATTGAAACCCCTATCAGCAACACAGGGAAGGAGTTACTGTAATGTATGAGGAAGAACCGATGGAGTATGACGCGTTGAACTGACCTCGAAAAGGGTTGAGAAGATCAACATGGAGAGCCCTAAATATTTCATCAGCTGGGGGTCAGAGAGAGGAGCGCTATTAGGACGATTCGAACCCCTCCGGTCATATCGCCATGATCTCGTTCGGTCTTATAGAGAGGCCCTCAAGACAGCTCAAACCTTCACACAGTACTTTTCGGAACAGCCGCTGAAGAGTTACGACCTGGAAAGGTCGCTGAGCAAGAATATGGGCTGTGACCCTTCAGCCTGGAATCAAGATGCAAATACCATATCGATTTGTTGGTTGGACATTGTTCGTCACGGCGATTTCCAGAAACAACCTGATGGATGTTATTATTGCTTCATTCAAGGGAGGGCCCTTAAATTCAATCATGAATTGCGCGATAGGGTCGAGTTTTGCCGAAGCCATGCCCCCCAAATTTCCAACTCGGGACCGAGCCGCGCAGATGTGGAAAGGGAAGCAGAGATCACTCTGGAGGTATTGACTGATATCTCCGACGAGCTAAAAGACTTCTTAAGATGTCAGTATCTGCCACTTATCAATAACCTTGATGCAAGTATGAATCTAACTGAAACAGATACGAAGAGTCTAGCAAAGCTTAAACGAGCAGTGAAGATACGCCATAACGAGCTCCAATCTCTCCTAGATCCTATCATAATTGGATCAAGCGGAGCAGAATCGGATTCCGACGACGACAATGAGGAGGGTTCGGACAGTTCCTCTGGAGACTCGAGTGAGGATGACGAAATGGATGACGAAAACAAAGATAGGGTCCCGGAAGACAAGGTCCCAGAAGACAAGGTCCCAGAAGACAAGGTCCCGGAAGACAAGGTCCCGGAAGACAAGGTCCCAGAAGACAAGGTCCCAGAAGACAAGGTCCCGGAAGACAAGGTCCCGGAAGACAAGGTCCCAGAAGACAAGGTCCCGGAAGACAAGGTCCCAGAAGACAAGGTCCCGGAAGACAAGGTCCCAGAAGACAAGGTCCCAGAAGACAAGGTCTCAGGGGAAAATGGGACACGAGATGACAGTTACAAGAATGTCTGCAGTCAGCAAAGCAACAGTAACTCTGGTAATGGAGGCAATGCGACACCAGCTGGTGACAGAGTTGTTCCGTTGAACCCTTTGCCCTTGGGAACTTCATCCTCGACGTCTCTGCTAGGGGAGGGTGAGAATGTCATCTCAACATCTCATATTCCTCTGCCAGGCGACACTGAAAAAGCTATCTCGGTGAACTCTGCACCTTCGAGAGATTTATCGACTATCAATTTACCAACGGAGAGTGAAACCATCCCGACAGATCATATGTCCCCGAAAAATGGTCCCGAGCTGGATATGCACCCGCGCCACAGACGCAAAACGCCCTTTGAAAGTGAGAACCCACCTCCCCGCGCATCGAAGCGGCAGAGATTCATCCTTCCATATTACCGACCGAAAAGAGTACGGAAGCCCGATCGATCCTCTACCCACGAAGAGAGAATGATTGCTGTTGCCTGGATGAAGGCCAATTCAAACAAAAATTGGAACCAAGTGACATTGGCAAGAAATTACAGCATCGAATTTGGCGACAGATTTGGCCACACAAGAAGCTATGCGACTCTAAAAAGATGGATGGACAACGAAGAGAATTCTCAAGTGGACAGCAATGTTGTGGTATTAAAAGTCCCGCATATGCGCCTTCATGGGGCATTGCCGAATGGCATTTCTACAGAGCAAGCGATGGACCTTTCAAACAATGGCAATACCCAGGTGCCATCATTACTTCCACGTGGGGGGTTGGAAAATTCACAGAACTGGACGGATGGTCATAACATGGCCTTCCAAGGTCAGCTTCCCAGCGCCCCTTGTTAAGGTAAAAAGTGATCCCCCAAACTCACTAGACTGAAGGATTGAGGGAGCCATTCATCAGAGGGTATCGTTCAGGTAAAAACCAGGATGAGTTTGAATTCCTTTTTGGGAAGGAAACGAGAAAAATCACATCTGGCGCTCGGTATAATTTAAAAGTTTGATACATGACTGGAAGGATTGGATTATGGAAAGGCATTTGTATAATATGTTCTTGATGTACCATAGACTATGGTAATTTTTTTAATCGATGTGGTAACCTAGCAAGACCTCTTCCTCTCGCACTCGCTTTCGCTTCGTCGGTATTATTTTGGATGCTAAAGTCAACTGGTGGGTTCAGTCACCCTAAAATTAGTCAAGGTCCTCTTTTTAGGGGAATGGTTGTTCTTCCCAAGTCAACTTAGTGTACAAAAACCGACCTAACGAACTAAAGTAGATGCAATTAGAGCACTGAAGTAGAAGCCAAGGGCGCCCTAGATATTTGCACCTCTCACTTCCCAAGGTTACATTACATGTATCGTATTGAGATGAATATATTACAGGGCCACAAAATTACGGTGTTTTCATAATTTAAAGAAAAGTCCTGAAGTCCTGACACATTCATGGCCCCCGGGGCTAAGTCAAGACTTTGGATAAAGGAGTAAAGGGAAAGAGCAGCCCGAGCCCCGGAGACAGAACAGCTCTGCAGTGTTCCTGATTTGGTAGGAGAAATTGTGGCATTTCTTTGTTTCAATGTTTCAATGTTACTAGTATACTTCCCATTTTCACGCCCAGTATTCTTATTGGTCTATGTGCTGCTGATCTTTGCGATGTATCTAATTGTTTTGAAAATTGTATGTTCCCCCCTGTTCAAAGTGTTGGATAAGTAGAAGCTGCATTTTTTTGACTGCTGGTTGGACCCATTCTGATTTCACAGCCCACGTGCCTGTGCGCTAGAATCCTTTATCCCGTGTATCTATAGGAACTGCTCTCACACCATAGCTAGCAACTGTATAGAACAGGCATCTCTCAGCCTCTGCCACTTGACATACTTAGCATATATATGTAGACCTGGCTTTGAACCTCCGCATGGGTCCCTACCCCGGAACCTCGAACCTCACCTCTTGAGGTGAGGTTCCAACCTTACTAACCTCCAACCGCCCATTAACCTCCAGAGGTTCTTTGAGGTTCAACCTCCATCGACCCGCATGAACCTGCATATACATAATTTCTTGACGCCTTTCCTCTTTTGGCTGGATAAAATTGATGATTCATCTCTGTTTTTTACAGCTGTTCCGTTAAACTATAGACTTTCCACTGAATACTCTATCAATATAATGAATTATAAAGATATAGTCATTGAAAAGTAAATAGGAGGCGTGGTCACCTATAAATTATAGGTAATATCCGATGATATCGACGTGGTGGGTGGTCAATAGAGGTCATCGATAAAATAGCATGTAAAGTTGTAGATATATATATCGCAGACACTGTAAAGTATGTGTATCTTTATTAGTAGAACTACAGTTCTTTAAGAAAACTATAAAGATGCAGTTTAATTCCCCTCATTTTAATATCATTCAAACCATTATATCTTCTTCTATTACTTTGTCTTTTAGAATTCATGTTAATTGGTCTAGATATACCGTGAATCCGGATTAAATGTCCCAATTGTTAGACTTAGACATTCTATTTTTCCTACATTGAGGTTCTCGTTGAGGTTCGTTGAGGTTCATTGAGGTTCGTTGAGGTTCGTTGAGGTTTATTGAGGTTTATTGAGGTTCGTTGAGGTTTATTGAGGTTCGTTGAGGTTTATTGAGGTTCGTTTCTATAGTGATCCACTATACTAGCGAATCAGATATAGATAGGGCTTTATAAAAGTTGATATATCAATTTAAGCATTATGGAACAGGGATAAACAGATGCCCCAAGAAGACCCCGTAACTTCTACAGAATAACTAGTGAGTTCCTTATTATCTTCCCTAAGTTGTACTGGTTTACTAAAGTTATCATGTCTCAGATTACCGACGGCTACGGCTACGCATCATCTAGCTTCGAAGGGTTACCGCTAGACGCGCTACAGTACCTTACCCCTGACGATACGCTATACCAACGCGAAAGCCAGTTTGATTCAGTTCTGGACCTTCCAGACCTTCTAGACAACCAAGTCCGATCTCGTGCAGGACCTCGGGCCCTAGACACCCTTACGCGAATCAAGCCAGATAGTATTAACGAGTATATCGTCTTTACTACCGACATGTCCGCGGAATTCGTTAAGTGGTGGCTTCAAACTGATTTTGGTAAGAAGAAGCGGCTAAACTGGGAGGTCAGCCGTCGCGCAGACTGCTGGACTGGGTTTCAACAAGTTGCACATACTAAAGATGGAAAGCCTGGCGTTATGTGCAATCGGTGCCGTACAGTTCTTACGCATCCAGCTACAAATCATACTGGAAACTCATCGATGCAGAAGCATCTTGATGGGCCAAGGTGTCGACAGCGAATTACGAAGAAGGGTAATATCCAGCAACTACTTAGCGACGCGGTATGTTCGAAATAGCCTATACTCAATATCAATACTAATAATAAATTCACTATATTTTAGGCCGAGAGAAGACCAGCGCCTCTCTTTACCCAACAAACATGGGAACAGAAGATTCTAAACCTAATCACTGTATCACATTTACCCTTTCTCTTCGTCGAGCACCAAGAATTCCATGATCTCATTTCCTACGCACGGCTAGCACCTACACTACCGAGCGTTCCATCAAGAAAGGTGATTCGCGACCGCCTCCGGGGTTTCGTTACAGAGTATCAACAAGAGACACTACAACAGCTGCCATCTGGTGCAAAAATGTCGATTGCGCTTGACTGCTGGACTTCACCATTCAAGCACGCATTTATGGCTATCACAGGATACTTTCTAGACCAGGAATGGGAGTATCGTGAGGTCCTACTTGGGTTTGAGCCAATTTCTGGATCTCATACTGGCGTGAACCTCGGGGACGTAGTTATCCAGATCCTACAAAAGCACCAAATCGCTGACCGAGTGCTGGCGGTGACAACTGATAATGCGTCTAACAATAAGACACTTATCGCAGCAGTGAATGATTCAATCAAGAAGCTACATATGGAGACGGATTCTACGATTGTCCAAGTGCCTTGCCTTGCGCATGTTATTCAATTAAGTCTAGTTGATTTACTTGGTAAAATCAAGGCTTCGCCAAAGAATGATAACGCCGAGATAGAATGGTCTGATGATCGTGTACGTTTACTTCGTGCGCGCCAGCAGAAACATGAGATCGCCGATACTCTGAACAAGGTATGCTTCTATTTAGAAATCATGAATTATGATTCAATAACACTAACTATTCTGATTTCTAATAGGTCCGAGGTCTTGCGGTTTATATCAACGGAAGCCCTCAACGTAAGGAAGCCTTCCTAAATACCCAGCCTAGTAATACGCTCCGGCTTCTTCTAATCCAAGATGTTCGTACACGGTGGAATTCGACATTTCTAATGCTCCGACGGGCGAAGAGGCTTCATATCGCATTCAACAAGTTCTGTTCCGACTATGATCAACACCATTTTACATTAAGTGCAGAGGGGTGGCGACAGATTGACTATTTACTTTGCATTCTTCAGCCCTTTTTCACGCTCACTACGCTAGTTTGTCGTACTAAAGACTCGAGTATCCACCTTGTCTTTAGGATTTACAATAAGCTCTTCGATCATCTTGAAAGATCAATGGGTCAGCTTCGTCGAAAGAAGGTTCCCTGGAAACAGCTAATGCTTTCCTCCCTCGATGCTGCGAAAGAGAAACTGAAGAAATACTACGGCGAGACAGATGGTATCGAAGGCAATCTCTATGCAATTGGGACGATCTTAGCGCCGTCGAGCAAGATGGAGTTCTTTTCAACAAGTGATTGGGACCCAGATCCTAAGACAGGAAAGGACTATAGAAAAGAATACCGCGAGAGTCTTCAGTCTTTTTTTGAGAGATACAGCCAACGTATACCATCAGAGATGATGCAATCTGATAGCCAGTTATTCACAACTGAATCGGAGCTTGAGAAGGCTCTTGACGGCGATTCTTCACAACGATTAACTGCTCCGCAGTACGACGAGCTCACCAAATATCTCCAGAGTGGTAAGTAAGTAAGCCTACTTTATAAATCATATAACTAACCTTACCTAATTAGAAACTATTAAAGGATCTATTCGGATCTTCTGGAAAGATCATCAGAGGGAATTCCCTATTCTTGCAAGCATTGCCCGTGATATCATGTCAATTCCAGCGACTGGTGCCGGAGTTGAGCGTCTTTTTAACTCTGCCCGCGATGTATGCCACTACCGCCGGGGGTCGTTAAACCCAGAGACTGTTCGCGATATTATGTTATACATGTGTACAACAAGATTCGATATCAAGGAGGAGCAGCGGCTGATTCTCCAAGAGTATCTTTTAGACCATGAGATAGCCGCTTCGACCGAAGCACTTGATGTCCAGACACATGCTTTCGAGGCTATTAGTGATGATGAGGAGGATGTCGAGATATGTCTTGATGCAACCCCGGACGCACCGCTACTCTCAGTAGTCGCCGCTGGAAAGCGGCCTGCGGTTAATTCTGACGATGAGGAAGAATCTGATGCCGATGAATTTGCGGATCTAGATAAGAATAGGGCATCACCCTTACCTGACTTCCCTGATACGCAGCATCGTGCATCCGGTAGAATAAGGAAGAAGTCGAGACTACTAGATGGGTATATAGCTTGATTACTTGAATCTTGACTCTTGAGAACTATAACCCGACACTGAACTATAGATATAATATAAACCATTGATGATTGAAAGTTGAAACCCTAATTCGACGCTGAGCCAGTGAACCCATAATATGCACTAAATCCTCCTGCAAGGGCATACATTAATGAAGTGTTGTTTTATAATTACGAGAGAATACAGCCTATTTCTACATAATTTATGTAGTTGACCCTAAGTCACGTTTTTTACCTATTTGTCATGCTTGTTGAAC